GGTTCATTCAGCAATGCATGTATAGTGGCTAAGTATAACGCAAATGATGTGGGACGATCCCCACAAGCTCTACTATAGTCCATCGCTCACTGAACGAAAATTTGAGCCCAAGTAATGGTGCTAAATAAGCCTCCGACTTCTAGCGGAGATATACGTTTATTGGTGACAGGGAACATGTATACACGCAGAGGGAAGAAACCCACATATCACAAGTGGCAGAATATTGGCAAAACGCTGGGCGTATAAGAAGCCATCGCGACGAGTCGAAGGGCGGTAGCGTGTGGGGAAATGGAAGCAATGCAATGGCAAAATGAAGTAACCAAAGAAAAGGAACACGGCAGTTTACCTCGCTACGTACGTGAAGCATTCACGCAGCAACACTGAGCGCTACAGGTGGATGGAGATGACTGAGCGATCTGATTGCGAAATCTATCCGCAAGATGTGATACAAATGTCAATGTTAGTAAGCGGTAACACCACAATGTTGAGTAGAAACGCGGTGCAACAAATTGCTTGTCCCAGTGAGCCAATGTTCTAGGTTAGGTGGTAACTCACAGATATCTCTGAGGCCTTCTATATCAAGGTAACAAATAAATATTCAATCGCAAAACCTTCTCATAGAAAGATGGGGAACGGTCGACGGCTATTCATTGAAAATTCAGCACCGAGTGACAGCAGCTTATGAGTAGAAGTCATGGGTTTCTAGGGTAGAGCAGGAGTGTCTCCGACAAGAGGAGTGCGCCTACGCTGCTACTGTCTTGACTTCCAGATTTAAATAATCCAAGGATCAGTAAGACACAAACACGCTAAAGCTACATCTGTTTCACAATGTTTATTACCAGCTGAACAGATCTACACAGTACAATCCAGTCGACTGGAATTAACAACTATGGCCAACATGCAATCTGACAACAGAGCCTAATCGAAGTAAAGGAGCAGTGACTGAAAACAAAATGCCTTTTGCTGTTTCCCTTTAAGTTCGATTGGAAGGGGTCTCGGGTTAGGTAAAAGCGGAATTCTACAGGTAATTCTGACCTCTCGGCTGGATGGCCATCTACACAGAGACCGTGACCGCTGTGAGCGGCCGAATACTTATGTCGGTTTGGGATTGGTGTTTGTCGACACGGTATTTATCGCCAGGTATTCCGATTATCCACAGGTAGCAACCTTCATAACACTGACCCCTTGCTATCACAGAGTTCACACAACAGTATCTACGATTCAGTGCGGAAAACTAATCACCAGCATCACAACCAATTGTTGGGGGTGCAATTCGATGCGAAACAAGGAACTTCACCCAAAACGCTTATTCGCATATCATTCAATTTTCAATTTTGAGGTTATCCTTTTATTCTAAATTCCCGATCGCTGAACCGATAATTTCGATTCGGGTTGAAATACAAAATGGTCATGGTGAGGAGGGTCAGCCAACTGTCAAATGTCCAAGACGAGATGGAAGAGGTAATAGAAACCATCAGCCGTGCTCTCGGCTTCATGCATCCGAAAAAATGAGAGATCCGTGAAACCCTATTAATGCATTCAAAGCGTGACAAACAGTCCAGGGAATGGTTTTTGAGTGTCCATAATAGGCAAAAGCGGGTTCGATCGGACACCATAGAGTAGAACTACTGATGACAGACTATAGTAAGGGCCAATGCGGGTCTTAAAGAAACAATCGCATGTATCCACCTCAACATGTTCAGTAGCCAATTAGAAGTACCACTTTCCTAAATCTTATTTCCACGATGGCATCCCTTCCGCACATGTATCCGTTGATAATCCACTACCTGGTTGTGATCACAACACTGTACTTTGTAACATGACTGTTGAATCAACTACAACCTCAAGTGCAATGTCCATGCCAAATCGCAATCGCCATCAAGTTTACTGGAATGCATTTAATGAATTTAGCAGTACTACGAACTGGAACACGTCATCCCTAACTGTGCTGTAGCTGCAAACGAACGGAAGTGCTGGTACCTGTCATATGGGGTAATACCTATAAGCATAGTGTTTAGCACAGCCCTCTCAACAAAGCCACAACCAAAGTAAAGAAAATGCAAGCACTATATCGCAGGAGCAGCAGCTTCGCTACATTGCTACAGATATATGGGGCTCTGTTACAACTTCAAGGTTTAACACAGCCAACCAAAATGCATAAGGAAAGTCAGGCAGTCAGAAAGACTGAAAAACTATGCACATTGTGTCAGCTACTCAAAAGAAGTAACTCTAGGTCTCAGTAAGAAGTTGAAACGTTGACGTTAGGTAGTGGTACATTAACGCGAGATATGTTCTGTATATGCGAGTCAATCAATTCATCCTCCTCATTTGTCCTTGACGTTCAGCTGTGTCACTCCTCCCTACTTCCAAAAATAACAAAGGATCTAATCTGCAATATTGCTGTGACACAGAAAGAGAGATTCAGAACGCGTTCATAAAACCATCGAACCATCCGGTCCCAGTTGGTAACCACCCAGCTGTCATAAAGCTCGGTGGAAAAACATCTCTGTTATTAAAAATCGTCACTCGCTAACTACTGGCTGCTTTCCATCTCAGTGGAAGAAATGCATCATATCTAAACACAAATGTAACCCGCGAAATGAAGTGCCAAGCTAATTCCCGATAAATCGCGCACCTGATGCTTCGAAAGTCCTAGAAAAGGACGTCAAGAAGATCGTTGAACAAATTGTTACACGACTAGACCTGATCAATCCCTCACAATATGGTTTTCTCTCCAGAAGTTCATGTGTCATCTGCCAGCTGCAATTCTTCGAGATGATATAGGAATGGCAATAAGCATAATTCACCTGGACATGCAAAACGCGTTCGACCACCTGCCACACAAGCCACTGTTACCCCTGTAATAGTCATATTGCACTAAAACCCTCTGCTAAACTGGTTTAACATATGCCTAAAAGACCGAACCCAAAGTGTCAGAATAGATCAGCAGTACTCTACGCCAAATTAAATAACCATCGGTGCCTTCCAGATGTTGTGATTGCCGCTGAATTTACATCTAACCCGCTGCTAGCGCGCAAATGACCGTCACCAAAAACCTGTTGTGATTTTCGCTGACTTTAAGGATAACCTGACTGAATTCTGCTATGCCGTACACAACCAGTTCAACCCGCAACGAAGTGAAAACACCAAAGAGTAGCCGGACCGAGGGATTCCGTGTTGTATGAGAGCATAGCGCAATAATTAAGTTGTAGGCAACTACTAACTCAACAATCGTGCAGATGCTAATTAATATTAATTAACACAACTCAAACGGTTCACGTTCATAGTCCACCTTGCCGCTGATCCCACGTAGAATCGCGTTTTGATTTCTACTTGAGTTCCATCTCCATTTGTAGATCGATCCACTCATGCGCCACGCTTCTCGGCTTGAACGCTGAGTGTAAGCTATCACCCCGCAACACCAAGGAAGTTTGCTGGCATCAATACCTTACCTCATCTACATAAACAACTTATGCGACCCCAGCAAACACGGAAGCTCATTTCTATTTGCAGATGACATCAAACTGGTCTACTCCTTTCAACCAGACCAAGTAAAAGTGTGCCTGGGAAGCATACGCGAAGAGCTACTTGCGAAGAATATCTCTAGTGAACGTCTGTTAATGAAATTCTCCGCAAGAAAATCCCTATATCTTTGCACGGATGCCACATCCCGGAAAGCTCTATCATGCCTTCTGATAACGTGATGCCATTCTATAATTCAGTTCGGGACTTGGGAAGCAGGTTTACTAAATTCTTCGTTATTTCTGAACATGTGCTATACCAAATCACAAAAGTCAGCTAACTATCCGGCTATATCACTAGAACTTCCCTTCTATTTGGAACACGACTTGAGACCTACTCTGGAGTACTGTCGTATCATTCAGACATCTAAGAAGTAAAATGCCCAGTGTTCATTTACCAAGCAAGCCATGGGGTGCTGCTCAACCCTGAGTTACTAGAATCGTTGCCGTCATCTCCGAATGGATCTCCTATGGCTGAGACGACTGAAGAACAAGCTCCTTCTTTACACCAAAATTATAAATAAACGGATTTGCATGGTGAGTATCGCTTTTGAGCTACGGAACTCTTCCGTCTATCCCACCCGTAATTGCAGCTGCTTGTCGTATAGACAGCTGGCTAATCATAAACTCCGATCGACTTGATTTTTCGCGAGATATGCCAATCAGTGAACCTACTATCAGGCACAATTGCTAACCATGTCACCATCCGAAATTCTATAGACTCCTCACTATTCTGATTGTGTTAGAGATAACCGCAAGAAACATTGACGAAACTGGACAAAACAACTTATGAGCAGCCAGTGGACTACAGCCAGCTTACGCAATCTTTAGTCAGAAAACTAAACATGTATCTGTGCCCGAGTTGCACTATCTGGCAAATTTAGAACATGGGGTACACAACTTCGTCCATTTTGTATTTTGAGTGATCGAATCGATAATCCGAGAAAGATTCTTGGTCTGAACTTCTATTTTTCATCTTATTTTGTTAGTGTTTTCAGCCTCGTAAACTATGACTCTATTGTGTAACAATGATCGCTCCCGCTCAAGGAGCTTGCATAAAAATTGCAACAGTGTTTTCATCTGCTGCTCTTGTTATACTAATCCGGGTCAACGCAGGTGGATGCATTAGGTCGAAGCTAAGCAAAGTAAGTCAAAGAAGCGAACTAAACTGAACCGTCCATAGAATATTAGTTAAAACAGAGCGGTTAGACTGCTTAACGTGTGCACGTTCAATTCGATTACTTGGTGAATAATAGATGACATTAACTGCCTGAGAGAATGAAAATAAAATAGGGAAGAAGGAAAGTGCGATCTCGCACCGGCGGGGCACCATAATCATCAACGCATGGGACAAGAGTCACCACCGAACAAACAAATCAAGGAGCAACTCACCGGCACCAGCTAGATACGCGGCGCGTTTGGAAACCATCTCGCACACGTAACGCACAATTTTGTTGTCGATTGGTTCAACAACTGGTACTAACAAGTCTTCGGTAAACATGGACTTTGTACTATAATACAGGTGCGGAGGGTCCCTAAAATGACAAGGTAGCAAATCCGGAAAATAGTTACCGCGATAAAATGCAATCAGCAAGGGAAGAACACCAATGGTCTAATAGCATCTAATATCATCTGGAACTCACGACGGAGCGCTGATTAGATTGTAAACCAATTATCGAAAACAGCTGAATTGCTTATATGCTCTAAAATGAGTTCACTATGCCCACCCATGCCTACCGACTGCGTAGCAAGCAAGGTCCATCGGTTGACCGTAAGATAAAAGGTAAAGCTTTTGGTCATGTGGGACATTCAAAAGTGCGCTAGTCTGCCGACGTAGGGTTATGTCAGTGGACCCACTGGGTAGAGGAACCCGATTTCGATATTCATAAAATTCCCAAGGTGGTTGAGAGCCCAATTGAAGAATGCGATGCTACTAGACCAACGATACGGTGCGGCATCTAATTGTTTATGTTTCAAAACGTTCAGCAATTAGCCTACCCGGGAAATTAGCAACATAAGTCGCGAAGAATGGTGATCGCATAACTGGTGTTAAGGGTGAAAATTTATAAACACTACTGTGTCAGTGATAGTGTGCTGAAACGGCAGTCCTTTGAATTTCGGGAGTTTATAGATATGTCGCATTAGAAAAAGTAGAGAAAGGAGTAAATTATCACATCACATACAGTGATACTGGGTGGCAAAGCAGCATGGACCAAGAAGAGGAGTCGACAACGAAGACAGCTAGTATAGCCCATATATGACAAGGCACAGTGAAAAGAACGCACAGCACATCGTAGTTCGATTGATGCCAAACACGTAAGTGGTGCAGGATTTATTCATCACAGAAGAGAAGCCTTAAATTCACAGTGCACTTCCTTGTAACAAATGCGCTGAAGATAAAGAAACATCAAGGCGAGTTCACGTGCACGTCGTTGCAAGTCACTCAGACGGAATGAGACAAACGGGAATTTGAACCCCCATTGTGTCAACCCGACGCGAGCCTGCAACGGCCTGTGAGAGTACTAACAACAAGGAAATTGACTCGCGAATCAGGAAGAACAATGGGCTGTCGCACAACTATCTTAATTCCAAGGAAACAAAGAAACCGGAGCTGGCTGTAGATATAACGAAGGCCGAGAGCATAGTTTCCAATGCAAGTTTTAATCGATTAGAAACGGCTATTTGGATCGTCGGCCCTGAGCCGTAAACTCAAGTTCTGCAATAGTCATGGATTCAAATATATGCTAGTCACCTTAACCGCAGAATTCGGGGGCCTTCAGTGAATGGAAAGCGGTGATCCCTACTGACAGATGATTTAAGAATGCTGATAAATGCGTGAGGACACAAAAGCAATGGGATCGGAGGACGGTGATTGGTAAATGGGGGACATTCCCTTCCGTTAATTGCAGATTCGACGCTATCAGCAACCTAGGCTAAGGAATAGTTCGTAACAGAACCATTTGTATCCATTTGTAGCTGAATCGGTGCCAAAGTCACAACAACTAACAATGTTCTAGGGACTACCGTGATGCCGAGCTGAACCAACTGGTGTCACAAGATCCGTCAACATAGGCACGCGGTCCCGCTCAAGGACCTTGCATAAAAAATTGCAACAGTGTTTTCATCTGCTGCTCTTGTTATACTAATCCGGGTCAACGCAGGTGGATACATTAAGTCGAAAGTAAGTGAACTAAGTTAAAGAAGCGAACTGAACTGAACCGTCCATAGAATATCAGTTAAAACAGAGCGCTTAGACTGCTTAACGTGTGCACGTTCAATTCGATTACTTGGTGAATAAGAGTTGACATTAGCTGCCTGAGAGAATGAAACTAAAATAGGGAAGAACGAAAGTGCGATTTCGCACCGGCCGAGCACCACATAATCATCAAAGCATGTGACAAGATTTGCCACCGAACATACAAATCAAGGAGCAACTCACCGGCACCAGTTAGATAAGTGTCACTTTTGGAAAACATTTCGCTAACGTAACGAAATATTTTGTTGTCTATCGGTTCGACAACTGGCACCAATAAATCCTTGGACAGCATATATTTGGTACTGCTCTCAGCTTGATCGCTGGCTGTAATCTTTCTCCCTAACGCCTCCCTCTTTTGAAATTTATATTGCGTGGAATTCACAGCTCATTCGATGTGGGAATCCACGTAGGTATCATTGCATCCGTGATCATGGCGGTTCGGTCTACGGCGAAGCCACCAGTGTCGTCCGTATTGGTGACTTGCAACCGCTTAATAATTTGGAACAGGTACGGCCAATATTGCAGTGAGTTACAGTTGTTACCGAACTCACATGACTTATTGACTCTTTGGGCAAATCTAACTTCGTAATCCAGTTGGTTCCGTGCAGCTTAACATTGGTACAGTATGCTGGGTAGGTATTTCCTTAGTAATGCAAACTTTTGAGTCTGCATTCACAGGCGATTCTTGCTTTCAGCTGCAGAGGTTCCCCTGAAACATTTTGAACCGTTAGAATTGTAGGTTTGACTGACGATGTGCCAAGTCTTGCCCGGATTCTACGACAAATGCTCTTGATAGCATGCAATGTTTCTGGCCGCAGCGATACCGGGACATTCTTGCGTTTCACTGTGGGGTATTTCCTCTTCCCTGAAAAGTCTGTACGAAATACTGCAAAAGCCGCCCCTCTCACTGTGCCGTGATACCTATTTCTTTTGAACTTGGAACTCGCTCGTTATCTGGGAGTACACACGCATCTGAATTGTTGTGCCTTTTGACAATGATGAATTTGGTGGGCGCAGTTTCTCGCAGAATGCCTCCCACCACCGTTCCATAATGCCATCGGGGGCTTCCAGTTCGGCACATTTCCATTCACAGTTTGGCCACACATGACTGTATGACAGGGTTGGGGTTCTCTGAGATCTGAAGTTGCAATCATTTCTGGGTCATGATTCAAACTGAGCAGCTTGTGGTATTCAGATACAATTTCCTGGGATGCCAACCTCGGTTCCTGTTCTCATTCCACATGAATGTTGTTTTCTGACAACAACTGAATTAACTGACGCTGTGATTTTTCAAACTGAAGCTGCCGCTGCTGAAGTAGTGAGTGCATTTGCTCGAATGTAATGGCCATGATTGTTTAACACCTCCGACGCCACTGTTATAACACTTCTGCCTTCTCTCTGCTTCTGCTACTGACAACTGTTTGAACTGCTGCCTTGCTGCACTGTGAGACTGCGACTCTGAGTTCTCAGTCAAGCGCCCAGTCAACGGACGGAATACAAAAGGCCGGAAGTAGGTAGATAGAGAGACCTACTATATGAGAGTATGGCGTAATAAATAGGTTGTGTGCAACTACTAATACAACAATATTGGAGATGCTAATTGATGCTAATTAACACAACTCAAATGGTTCCAGTTCATGATCCAACTTGCCTCTGATTGCACATCGATTAGCATTTTGATCTGTACTCGAGTTCCATCTCTAATTGTAGATCGATCCACTTTTACACCACTGCTCTCGGCTTGATCGCTGGCTGTAAGCTCTCTCCGTAACAGCGTTAGCAGTATACCGGCACACCGTACTGACGCTTCGCCGCCACCACGTCTCCGTCGCCGGTCGAGCATGGGATGGGTATACCGTGAGGTTGCCCGTAGTGTCTAACTGCGGTAACCTCCGTTCGGATTACAAAGCAAGTGTGTAGTCCTTGCGGCCACCGGCAGCCGACAGTCGAAATCTGCGGTCACATCAGAAGCTCGATTGATAAGGTACCAAGGTGTCTTTTGGAAGTAAAGTTCCCAAAGTGAGAACATCAACATCACTTGAGAACGCCGAACAACACTGCTGGGTCATTTAGACAAGTCGGATGACGGCCATTGTCTCACAAGTAATTATGATCGCTTGTCTACTCAACAACAAATGTTGGTATAATTAGCGGATGTAAATGACAGAGCATAGAGAGACGGTGATGATTTAGGGGGTAAGTAACTGTGGCGAGTTCCACACACGAAAACAGATAAGTGAGGATTTTAAAAAGCCCACAAACGTTCCTGAATGAGTCCATGAGGCAAAAGCCAAGGAGAAATGGAATCATCGCGTGTTTTTCCGACGCATTTATTGCACAGCGTGGAGAAGAGATGTACTGAACGAGATCAGAAGCATAGTGAACATGAAGCATAGTCCATTGCCAAGCAGCCTGAAAATACAGCAAAGTGCTTAGAAATCTTCAAGTTATGCAAGGTGTCATCGTTCGCTATGAGGTTAGCTGTCTCGGACAAGTTACCACGGATTGATACACTAGCGAGTGCATAGTTGATGTCAACAGGAACCTAGTGACGTAAGCAGATGTGCAGTCGGGTTACCAGGTAGCTGCCGTAACTGCCGCAGTTACATCTGCTTCTAGAAAGAGAGCTCCAGAGTCTCGAGCTGACGCAATTGATGGTCGTTCGGCAGAGTACTGGAAATTGGCGAAACAATTTGAGTTATACGTCGAAAATGAAGTAGTAGAGCCAGGAAAGCGTCTTCTATATCTCATACATTATTGTCGAAGGTGCGAATGTGAAATAATGCCCCCGGGAGAGCGCGCCACAAGGGATCGAAAGACTTTGGGCAATCACTATGGTCAGTGTCACACTGTTGCGCGCGCATCGGTCGAGGGTACACTGAACGGGGTGAAAACAGTTCCGAATAACACCGAGGCGTTATCCGAATTGGTTTAAGTGGGCGGGATTGGTTGATCGTCTGATGCTTGACGAACAGGAGCTCAAGTTTTCGGACCAGACGTAGCATCCCGTGTCCGTATAGCACGTAGTTGTTTCGGACAGCTAATAAATAGTGGGGAAAGGCGATCCTCTGTTTACGATCGCCCCACTTGTGCGAAGGTCCTCCACCCGAAGGAAGTCTCCAAGTGTGGCTCCCCATTTTGCCCTGCAAGTGATTGGCCAATCTACCCCTACAATTAACCATCGTTGTATTTGCAAGCAGCGTTGTCCCAGTTTCGCGACTAATACTGTGTCCCGTAGGTGGGAAGTTGTAAAAGTCGAGACTGTGCTTCAAATGTCTCAAACCCAGAACTCGTGTGATTTCATGTCGCGTTCGTGTTAGGGATTCTGTAATTGGCTTTAGGGCTCACTATAACATGCTTCGTCATATTTCTGGTGCGTCGTCTGTTTCCCCGAATAGCCATGAGAGCGCTTGTTGCGGAGCCACTCACACCGCGCGTCATGTCGCACTTGAGGTCATCCCGATTAAACTAGTCGATCCTGTTGGCGTTGCTACATTCTGCACACTGCTTGACAATGGATTTGACGCCAGCCTAGTTAGTGAGGATTTGGTCGATTGTTTTGGCTTGTTATCCATACCGTCAACGCTTGCAATCACGACGATTAACGGGGTGCAGCATAGCAAAAGGCCCATAGTTAGGTACTGAGTGCAAGCAATGGACGGCTCGGAAAGTACCAAAGTGGACCGAGCTTGCTGTTCCTTAGTTGCCCATACAGTCGTCTGCGAAGACACTGAGGCAGGAAATGAGCAAGTGGCCCCTTCTAGCCGACGTGAGTTTAGAAAAGATCGAGGGCCCAGTGGTGTCATTGCTCATCCGAAGTGATGTACCTGAAACCCATTGGATTTTACAACAGAGACAAGGAAGTCGGAAACAACCCTACGCAGTCAAGACCCTACTCGGTTGGGTTATATTTGGTGCGCTGGGACCACAAAAACGAATGTCGGATACTGTAAATTGCCTAGAGATATATGCTACCTCTATGTATGACCAAATAGAGGATATACAACCCTGAGTTCTCGGGATTAGAGCCATATAAGCGGTCACCGTCCGTAGAGGATGCCGCGGTTCTAAATATGGTTAAAAAGCAGACGCGTTTGAGTGACTGTCAACACGTCATTCCACTATCTTGGCGCGATCGCGGTGGGTTTCCGCCCAACAAACAATCGCTTGCAGAAAACACTATTGCCTCTAAAGCGACGTTCCGCTCGCGATAAAGGCTTCTTTCTGTAATACGATAAAGTCACTGAGCAAATTCTTTCCTAGGATACGCAATCAAGGTCCCTCCGAAACAGCAAAAGCAAAATTTTCACCTCGATGGTAACAACCACATAATGTTATAATCAATCCTAGGAAACGCGATAAGCTACCGGTGATCCTGGATAGTACAGTTCTGAGGAATCTATTCGAACGATTAATTGCATCAGGGACCTGATCTCACAGTTGAATTGACAAGGGTCATCCTAAAATCGGCTAGTGTCCGAGTGGTCTGCGCACGTGTTTTGAAGCCACAAGATCACCGGTTCAAATCCTCGTAGGGGTGAGCGTCCTCGCGGTATACTCAGTCCGCGCGCTACTGGTGGACGCGTGGCAGCAAAGCGCTGCTACGGCGTCAGATAGCAAATTAATCACTACTCAAGTGCAGGCAGAGTATGACCAATTATGCAAAACAAAGGAAAACCATTCAATGGTAAGAACATGGAAAAAATAAGAGCTGGAAATAGTTTTTATGCAATTATACAAAAAGAAAAATAATGTACCCGTGTGACAACTTCCCGCAACACGTAAAATGAGAGTTAATAGGAAATGAAGTATGAAAAAGAGAAGCTCCGATCCACTCATAAATACAAAAGGGAATAAGGCAAGATAGAAAATATGAGTGCAATGTTGTGGATTCGCATTTCGTGGGAGGGACTTTACCACCTGATCGGAAATCGCATCGAAACCAAACGAAAATGAGGAGCCAACAAACTAACCTTTCAGTCTCGGTTAAGTACTTGGTCCATACGGCATTCTTAATACGCAATGTGCCGGGCATCCGGCCTCGAAAAAGCAGATGTTGTTCGACCCAGTACACTAGTACGTGTCTCACGAATGCGCCCAGGTACATCCAGAACACCATCTTCTCAAACCTGCAGGAGAACGGTAAATTCGGATATTGAGGGAGTTCACAAAGAAGTATGGAGCAGTACCAAATTGAGAGCGAGACACAGATATTTTAGCGTGCTATCTTTTGTAGGTGTCATTTCCAACGGACAGTTTCGGAAACGTGCTTACAAGTGTCTTGGAAAATAATTTGACTTTTATCAAATTTCGCTTGATCCACATAATTTTGGATCACCGTTCTTCCCGGATTACGTCGCACGCGTTCTCGAGTACTTACCAAACGTCGTGCATCATTTTCGGGTTCAGCCTCCGGCTATTTTTCTGGTATTTCGTGTTTTGTACTCTGATTTACAACTTGTTTTAACACGTAACGGTTTCTGTTGACTGCCCTGCAGATAATAGCTTGTCGGTTTTACGTTTTGATAATTGTTTTACACACTGAAAGCGTTATGTCGGATTCGCTAAATACCGGGGGTATTTTGTCTTCGGCTGCATTGATCAGCGAATCTAATGTTGTATGTGGCAGCGTGAGCTGCTCGAAGCACGTGACGGATGAGTCTGGTGGCATCCAGTGCTATGTATGCAACTGCTTGTACCATGAGACCAGTACCGATTTCAGCCCTGACCAGTACGCAATGCTCTCGACTAGCGATAGCATGCTGTTCAATTTTCTATTATGCCGTAGTCGTCGATCTACGCGCCTTGAGGTCACTGAGGCGACATCGCGCAACTTCGGGCTGGGTAACCAGAAGATGTGGTCTTTCTTCACATCTATTGATTGCAAAGTGGAGTTACTAATGAGGAAATTGGGAGTCTCTATTAATGCCGCCTCATTGGAGGAAGCCACGCAACTAACCTCAATTGCTGTCGATGAGAATCCGACTGAAGTGATGGCTACCTTGTAGTGTGCCCCAGCGGTCCAGAATCCTCCTAACGAGGATTCTGATGTCGTACCGGACATGGTCCAAGACAAGACCGATCTCCTATCCCCTGTGCCCAATAAAAGCAAGAGGAGGAGGGTTAAGAAAGTGCGTCAGATTCCTCCAAAACCTGAAGATACTGAACCCATAAAGGTATTGGAGGTAGAGCACGAAGCCCCAACAGCAACCACCCCAGTTCCATTGGCGAAGGAACGCGCCGCGTCGACTTCGGCCACACCCGCAAAGTCTGAAAAGAATAGACCAGTGAGGGAGTTGGAGGTAGAACACAAAGCCTCAAACTCAATTACTCCAGCTCCCTTGGCGAAAAACGCACTGTCACCTGCCAAACCGGTCGAAACTGGGGGCGAGTCGAAAACTCGTGGAGTGAATACGCCTCGTCGAAGTGATTCTTTTACTGACTGCAGCGTTATCTTCCGTAACGTTGCTGTATCCGCGACAGCTCTTCTCAAGGAACGCATGTTGGATAACCTTCAGTGGTTCAAGCTCTGCCTCAACAACATGCTTCCACCTGGTTTCTTCGGTGTCACTATCAGGAAGTTAACCAGACTGTGGAACGTCTCTGTAGATACGCCGAATACGCTACGCCGAATACTTCGTGTAGTGTTCTCAACCCCGGAGGAACGCAAAGCGTTAGTGCGCTTTGCATTCAAACTGTTCAGCCGGACCTCCCACTGGTAGATCGACTGAAGCTGAAGAAGCCACCAAAACCCTCAAGAGAAGGCGTGTGGCTGGTGAACAAGGCCTTCGTCTTATGGGTTTTCAGGTGGTCAGTCGGAAGTTAAATTCTGCCCTACCAGAACCCCTCCTTGTAGCGTACGACCAAGGGATAGGCGAGCCGAGTTCCTTCGGGTAGTGCATAGCAATGTGCATAGCCTAAGGAACAAGGTACACGAGGTGAATCTACTTGTAGACAAATCTCGTCCCGACATACTTGCTTTCACTGAAACGTGGTTGTCCCCGGATATCACAGAAGGTGAAGTATGTCTACCTGGCTAAGCACTGCTTAGATGTGATCACTCTGTTGGCTGTCAAGGTGGGGGCGTCGCTCTTTATGTGAGTTGTAAACTTGATGTGTTGAAGACCTGTGCTTACCAGTCGCCGGATCAATCTGTTGTAGCCCTGTCGACTATTGTGTGCACTTCCTCTGCTCAGTTTAGTTGTAGTGGTATCTCGAAGTCCTGAAAGCATATGTAGGTAGGTTATTGAATTTATTCCTACTCAGGCTGCCAATAGGTGTCCAATACTGAGTGACTTCAACCTCTCTGAGGTCTGCTGGGCTGATCTATCTTGCAGTTCGGCGGTGGGCACTTTCGGTTCGGAACTACTCGAGCTAACGTTGTAACTTCCTTTGCAGCAGTTCGTGGACCTTTCGACTAGATAATTGAGCAACCAGCTTCCGTCTACCATGGATCGCATTTTTGATAAGCCACACGATTTCGTAAGTGATATTACATACGGCTGTTCCCTAGGAGCCAGTGACCATGTCTGCATATCCTTTCGTTGCGCTCTAACTGAGTGTCATCAAGCTACCGCTGAGGCATGTCCGAATATTTGGCGGACAGACTTTAACGCAATGTGAGACAAATATTCAGTTCTGCGTTGAACGAGCACTATTGCTGACACCGTTGAGACAGCCTGGGATAACTTTAAGGCATATCTCACCGAGATCTCTGCTCTCCACAGCGCACTCATTAAGAGACGGGTGACACGGGCGCAGCCTCCTTGGATAGATCATACAGGTAAATATCTGCTCAGGAAGCGCTCTAAGTGCTGGCGAACTTACCAAGAGGCTTCATCAACAGCACCTAGGAAAGCTATCGAGCTGTTAAAAATAAACGTAACCAACATCTTAGAACTCTTCGTCCTCAGTATGAGGATATATATATATATATATATATATATATATCGTTGGCGGCATCCGGTTTCGGATTTGCCTGTCCCTGTGGCGAGCCACAGGACGCCTGCGCCTACAGAGGGACCATGATTGGCTTGCACTGCACCACCCACAGCTCCATCCACACACCCCATATCCGGTGTAAAACCGAAGGAATAAAACCGGGAGGCATGCGGATGGGAGCCACGTTTCATCAACGGAGCCGGCCCACACTCCTTCACAGGCAGCCACAAGCACACTGTATTTGGGAATCAAGCGCACACAAGGCGGTGGCTGGACCGTAGTCCGCTCCACACTGAGTGCATGGAACCACTCTTCGAGCGTAGCAAGACCACAAGGACCGTGCCCCCCTTCCCTTCCAGCAACTACCAACTGTCTCCTGGAGCCAGTATGGACGAGGTAGTGGGTAATAGACACGTAAGCACCTTGTCAACATGCACAACAAGCGCAGCCACACCAGGGATATTAAGCAACAGCCAATCACTTGAGAGGAAGATAACAAGGAAAATAAATCGAGTAATGCATAAAGTAATGTGACAAAATCTTAAATTAATGAGCATATGAAATAAGTTGTTTACGAACGAGTCCGAGATAAGTGCACGAGGTCAGAAAGTATATTTTACGGAAAAGACACAAACACAAAAATGTTATCGAAATTAACTACAATTAGCCTAATCGAGTTGTGCAAGTTTATACAAGAGAGTACAGGTAGACATGTATATGAGAAAGAAAAGCATTAGGACAAAATTGAATACCCACCACCTGAAATAAAGAGACTTAGCACGCAAGCACACAGCGTACCTATAAACGCTGCGCTGGTTCTGCCTACGTTCTCTGCAGTACCCGTCGTCGCTTCGCTAGTGGTCCCGAGTGGCCTCGCTCATGGCTCACTAAGCTCGCCTGACTCAGGCACTCGCGACCGCATGTGCTAAAGCATCATGCGCTCGATGTCGATGCAGTACAATCCAGCGGTACTTGCCGCTTCCGCACTTGTCGCTTCTTCTCTGCATGCATGAGGTCATTCTCCCGCACTTCGGCAACTGCCTTCGTGATTAGATCCCGCCATGTACGCCGATCAACCCTCTTCGATTCCCATGACCTGCAATCAAGATTAGAACGTGAAAGGATCACTTTGATCATGTCATGGTAACGTGACTTTGGTTTCCCCACATGCCGCTTCCCAACACTCAGCTGACCGTATAAGAGTTGTTTCGGTATCCGCTTTGAATCCATACGGCTCACATGACCGATCTACCTAAGGTGTCTCAACAAAAGTATGCAGTCCACTGCATACACTCCACTTTGTCGTAACACTTTCGTGTTAGCAACTCTGTCTCCCCAAGTGATGCGCAAAATTCGACGCAAACACTGCTGATGGAACCGCTCGAGATATCGCACATCTCGCCGGTACATTGTCTACGTTTCACTACCGTATAGAAGAACGGACAGTACCATGGATTTGTACACCATCAGCTTCGTGACAATGGTAAGCTGATGGTTGTTCCAAACTCGGTACTCAAGCTTCCTGAATGCCGTCGCTGCCTTCGACACGCGGATGCGAAGCTCACTGAAGCTGCTGATCAGTCGACATCACACTCCCAAGGTAGCTGAAGCGGGAGGTGGTTTCCATTACTTCAACACCAACGCTGCTTCGCGACAAAATTGAAGATTGCACCTCCGGTAAAGGCTGAAAGAGACAGACAGTTTTGCTTGTAGAATTTAGAAGTCAAGATTAAAATTCACGCACAATAATGTGCCTCGACGGGGAATCGAACCCCGGTCCACGAATTTCCGGTCCGCTGCTCTACCACTGAGCTACCGAGGGCTGACGATTAGATGCGCAAATTTTAATACATGACTTCTGCTTGGTGCGCGATGTATTGCCAATGAGCTCACAGTACCTGTCCTGGTGTTGCAGATTGGCTCACTCATCCGTCACTTCCCTATGGACCGAAGTACCTGTCCTTCGGATGTCCAATGGGCGATGGTAGATTAATTTTGGATGTTTGTGAGTAGTGCAAAGTTTGTGTTGATGGTGAGCCCGAATTTGGCCGCTGTCGAAGCCAGAGCACTAGCCATGTGCTGCAACTCATCCGCGCTGTGTGAAAAGAACGCACAGTCGACAGCAAACAGCAACATACGATAGTTGTCTCACAGACAAGGGTTCTCGCACCGAAACGACGGATGTTCAGTAACTCACCGTCAATACGATGCTCCACACGAACACCGAAAACACAAGCGGCATAAAAAGCACAAGACATCATTGCATGAAAATATATATTAAACAAGGCAGAGACCAAGACACAGTCCTGCTTCACACCAGGGACAACTGCAAAGTCATCTGAGGTGTCTGCACTCAACTGCACCCTCGCCCGCATACCAATGTACAAACATTCAATTAAACTTAAACTTACGCGAGCAATCAAACTTACCCAACACTAGCCACAATGCCTCGCGGTTCACCTAACAAATGCTTTGGTGAAATCAACAAAAAGCGAGTACAACGGCTGTTGTCGTTCTCTGCAATTCTCCTCCAACTGACGAGCCGCAAACACCATAGGTATAGTGCTGCGACGCGAACGGAATCCACATTGCTCTTCCGCCACGTTAGGTTCCACAACCTGACTCACGAGGCGA